CTCCTCATCCTGCAGACACCACACACAGCCAAAGCAGCATTTTGTCCCATCGGCATCAAACCTGAAGCTAGTTTATATCTGAGAAAATTAGGAACTTACAAAAGGAATAAAATAATAAACTTTTCAAAAAGAAATGCCTCCAAAACAGCATTGTATGCCTCTGTCCTAACCCCCAGGAACCAAAGGCTGAGGGATCAAGCCTTGCTCCTCAAGGGACTGAGAGCACCATTTGGTATCAATTTTCCAGCTGGCTGCTCCTTTTTAGGAATTGTTTCTCTCATTTCTCCCAAACACAGGGAGCACAGATCTGAGCTGGCTGCACATCACCACCCTGAGCCCCACAGGCCTGGGCTCCAGTGGGAGCTCCCTGCTGCCACGCGGATGGGGAAGGGAAGCAGGGACACAGCCTCAGCTACATCAGGGAAGGGTTAGGTTGGATATTAGGGAAAAAAATTCACTGAAAGAATAATAAAATACTGGAATTGTCTTTCTAGGGAGGTGGTGGAATCACCATCTCTGGATATGTTTAAAAAAAGACTGGACTTGGCACTTGGTGCTATATCTAGTTGAGTTGTTAGTGCACAGATTGGACTTGATGACCTTAGAGGTCTCTTCCAACCTTGTTATTCTGTGATTATTCTGTGACTCCACGTGGGCTGCAGTCTCGTTTGCCCCAGCAGAGCTGAGGTTTGGCACAGGAAGAACCACGAGGAGGTGGCACTAAGGTGGTTTGGGAAGCCCACAGCAGCAAGGATGGGGCACCCCAAAGGATGCTCTGTACACAGGGGCACCTCGCTAACAAAACCAGCCCAAAGCACCAAGTGCAAGGGGTTTTGTTGGCCTTTCTGAAGGGCAGGAGGTGGAAGGACATTCAGCCACGCTTGCACTGAGGCATTAAGCACCATAAAGTTTAACCATCCAGCACACCCAAGAGCCCAGGCTTCTCTGCCAGAGCCCAGCTCCTGGCTAGAATTAGCCAAGGCAGGTGTGGTAGACAATTACAGGCTGGTAATTTTCCAAAAATATTCCTAGGATTTGGAGTTCCTTCCCATGAAAGTGTGGCCCAAACCACCCACCCCAAAGGTAACATCCAGCCCCAGGTCACCCAGCACACCATTTCAGAAATCTGCAATACTTTAATCAAACCCTACTTAAGGCCATAGTTACTTCCAGGATTGCACACATTCCTGCTTCCCAAAAAAAAGCACAAATATCTTCATTAACACACAAGGACAGGGTGAAGTTTCCCCTCCCATGATCAGCCACTGCCTCTATTTACTTTTATTTGCTCTCTGGCATCACACAGGGAGAAAGCAGGGCCCAGGCTGAGCCCCAAGCTGCACACAGCAGGGTGATGGGTTTTTTGAGCTGAATCCTGCACCACAGAGCCCTACCCGAGGCAAGGTTAAACCCAACCAGCACAGGAGCAAGCCCTGCAGTGCCCAGGCACAGCCCAGGCTCTCCTCCAAAACCACACCAGCTGCTTGCCTTCCCTCCAGCAATTTTCTTCCAGACAGAAAGCTTCACTGTGGCCAAAAGCAAGAGAAACCAGGCACCACAAGTCACTTCACCTCCTCCAGGCATCTCTTGCCTGGATTTTGGGTACTGCAGGGACATAAAGCTGGGCACCATACAGCTTCCAGGATAAAACCACTTCCCCATCAAACACCATCCCTCAAACAGCTCCACTTTGCCTTGTTTGAGGGTTTTTAGGGTTTTTCTGAGCAAGAAGAGCCTGAGCTCTGCCCTAAGAGACGCATCAGCCCACAGCCACCCCAGGGCCCCACTCACCATCCTGCTGGGGGACTTGGTCACTGCTGGAGGATCCTCGTGTGCAGGAGAGCAGAATCATGGTTCAGGAGCAGAATCCTGGTTCAGGAGCAGAATCCTGGCTCTGGAGCAGGGCTGGCTGCACTGAGGAGCCATGAGGGGCACTGAGGGGCAGCAGAGCAGCCACACACACCGAGCAGACACCCCCGGAGCTCTGGGCAGAGCCTCCTCTGCCCAACAGGGTTTTAACCCAGCAGGGCTAACGAGGAACACCTGGCAGTGATGGGGCACAGCTGAAGGGGATAACAGAGATTGCCCCAGGGGCAGGGGCTCTGCACTGTCCCCCCAGCCCTGCAGCCCCAGGGCGTGGCCAGGCTGGGGGGGCTTCAGGAGAGGTGGGAATGGGATGGATATCTGGAATGGGACAGGCCCCTGTGCTGCATTTATAACAGGGCCCTACCCCAGTGTGCATGGAGAGGGCTGTGCTCGCTCTGTGCTCTCTCTGTGTCCTCCCTCTTGGGAATGAGGAGGGAGAGGTGTTGAGAGGACACAAGAATTAATTAGCCCAGGACCGGGATCAGGCATATGTGAGAGGGGAGAGTTCTAGTGGGAAGGCTTCCTGCGCACCTCCATCTGTGGGCTGAACTTGCCACTTTGGAAATCAGCCTATGTTTTTCCTGTCCTTTAAATTTTTCCAGAGAAATCAGTGATGCTTCAGGTGCCTCTCTGCAGGGGAATCACCTTCTTTTACAAAGCAACAGCATGCAGAAAGATCAGAACACAGTAACTTCTTTTTAAATGAAATTAATATTATTTATGACTTCTATGAACATTTACATAAGAAAGAACTATCTTATTTGCAGAGACATTTCTCTCTTTCCTGTGCTCCAGAGGGGACAGTGCAGCTCTGTCACATCCTGGGGGAAGCTGACACCAAGCCCTGACAGTTCCCCCTGGGTGATGAAGTGCCTGGAGGATGGAGATGACTCCTTCATTTCTGATGGCTGTGCCAGGCCGGGTGAAAGGTGGCTCCCACAGTAAATCGAGATTGTTGTGATGATAACTGAGCCTGTGGGGGCCAATTAAAACCCCCGGGAGAGGGTGAATGGCTTCAGCCCGGCCTGGCACGGCGGAGGGAGCGTGCTGCAGCAGGCTGTGACAGCCCTGAACGCCGTGTACCAGGCAACTGGCAAGGGACAGTGACTCAGGGCCAGGGAAGGACTCGGCGCTGTGAGAAGCATTTTAAAACGAGCTGGAAAAATCACCAGCAGCCACCAAGGTGACTGAAGCATAGGAGGAAAACAACCGGAGCGCTGCGTGCCAATGGACGGACACACGGCTGTGCCGAGCATCTCGGACCGTGCCCGGGGCCCTCTGTCCCCCGGGGTCAGACCCTCTGTCCCCCCTGTCCCTCTGTCCCCCAGTGTCAGTCCCCCTGTCCCTCTGTCCCTCCTGTCCCTCTGTCCCCCCTGTCCCTCTGTCCCCCGGGGTCAG